CAAGCACCCAATGATAAATGTAAACATACTGTATACCTAAAATGTACCAATAAAAGAATAATAAAAAAAAAAACACCACTGCTCTTACAGAGGTTCTGCAACTTTTTTTGAATTAAAGTTCATTGGGTTGTTGTAAGCTTTGGGTTTATTTCTAGAGGTTTTTTTTTTTTTGGTACCGGGGATTGAACTCAGGTCCTTCCGCTTGCAAGGCAGGCGGCAGAACCACTGAGCTAAATCCCTGGCCCTATTTCTAGAGTTTTGAAAGCATTGATTTTGATAATTTTCTAAGTATCCTCTCCTCACTGTCATGTAGAAATGAACTATTCAACTATTCAAGAATTTTTGCCTCCTTCCAATATTTTGTAACAGTATTTCTTAAAGTTGTCCCAAGTCATTTTAAAACCATCAACTTTAATCTTTTAAAAAATTTAAAAATTATTCCACTTCACTAACAAAATCAATTCAAATTCAATTAAAAATTGCAATGCTGAAATTCCCAGACAGGCATCTCCAAATCTATCCGCATATAACTTTTGACCCTGGGCTCCTTTCAAACACTTCTCAAAAGATATACTTATTTTACATTAGGATGGGCAAACTACAGTCCACCGACTGTTATTCACTGCCTGCAAGCTAAAAAAGATCTCTACTGTTCTTAAAAGATTGTGAAAATAAATTTTAAAAAGATGAAGAAAGAGCATGTGGCTTGCAAACTGAAACAGTTTACTCACTGGATCGTCAAAGAAAAACATATTTTATTTTTGGTGGTGCTGGGACCTCGGGGCTTGGTGCATGCCAGGCAAGTGTTCTCAGCCCTAGGATGACACTTTTTAGCTACTACACTTGGAACCACTCTGGAATTGAAGTTTAAACTTCACTGAACTCCAAAAAGATGTGTCTCTGCTAAGGCTTCATTAACTGTAACAAATACAGTACCAGAAACTGTCTCACTCAACCATGCTAGTACCCAGTATTGTTTGAAAATTATATATACTGGCAAAATTCTTACATGTGGTACTTAAATGGGAAAGATCAACATGCTAACAATTCCATCTATCTTCTCAATGATCCTCAAAATTTTTCTGACTCTCACAACCACGAGAGAGAGAGAGAGAGAGAAATTATGCTAATATTCCAAATGCATAAAGTAATTATCACAAGAACTTCTGTGCTGAAAGCAACTGCTCTGGATCCCTTTTTTCCCACTCAGCTCCACACTCTCCACCCTTTCCCCCATCTCAAGCTCCTCACCCTGCACCCCTGCTCCCACCTCCAGCTCCTCATCCTCTACCCTGCTCCCATTTCCAGCAGCTCACCTGAGAAGGTGAACCAGTTTCTTACATTACTAAAACCAAACCAGTGAGAACAAGCTCTCTTAACTTCTTTTAGAGCTACTTTTACATTTCCCTTAACACTTCTCTATATAGTAATTCTTGCTCTTGTATTCACCACCTCAGAAGAGAGAACATCTCTCCTCCTTCCACAGTTAGCTTCTCAAATTGTGAGTTCATATTCCTATGCCAAATATTCCAGACTTTGCTCCTTCAAGTCTTCCCTTTCTTGGATCCTCCATCTCACTCCCTCTCCTGAAGCTTTCCCTTCAGTCTTTCCCTCTCCTAGAACCTAAAACTCTTCCCATGAGTCAACAGACCTCCCCTCTCTTCCCATTCAGTGACATGTTTCTTGGCCTACTTCTTTCTTATAAGGTTCCATAACTCTCTTACTTGACCAACAACGTTTCCATTATCAAAATCAAAATCAATGGCCTCCCTTGATTTTTAAGCTTTTCGACCTTCCTGCATCATTTGATCAGATTCTTGTACTTTTCTCTCTAATCTACTGTCATACCAACTCTCCTGGTTTTCTTTTTCTAAATATTCACATATTACACACTTAATTTGATTTTTCCTTCCTTTTATCTCTTAAAGTTTAAAATCCCAAAGTATATTTACCTATGGCCTTTTTCTCTCCATAATGATATCCCTTGAAAATCTCACCAAATCTTCAAGTTCCACTTCCACTTTTACAAAGATAATTTTCAAATCCATAATCTTTATTCCTGGATGACCTTTCTCTTCCTTTCTCTCCCCTTCTCATCTTCTTGATCTTACCATCTATTTAGTCTTTGCATCCCTTCTCCATCAACTCTCACCTCTGTCCTCTCCCATCCATCCCTACTGTTACAACCCTCCTTTACACCACTGCAGCCTGGAGTCTAGTAGTGGTTTTACAACCATGCGTCTCCTTTCTCGGTCAATCTCCGATCCACCTATGCACTGCTGTCTAGTTCATTGTGAACTACACTTCTGATCAAGTTGCTCTCCTACTTAAAGATCATTCAGTGTACTAAATGCTACTGTATTGAAAGTGGCTCATATGATTTTTAAAAGAGAAGAACCAATTTGTGCCTTCCTACAGAATGAATCCCCTGCTCCCAGCCATGAATCAGGCTCTCCAGGACTGGTCCCAAACAATCTATCAACCTGCTTCCCACTTCCTCCTCTTTCAGAAACTTTCCTCCGGCCAGACTGTTCTCATGCTGAGGGACCCTGGTGACTTCCATCTTGCAGTTCTGCCAGCCCCCAATATTTCCGGCACACATCCAAAGCTTAGTCCTTTGCTACAATTCTAATCCTACCTTTTCCTGAAAGTCTTTGCTGATCTCCTTTCCCGTTTCCACCTGAAGTACGATTTCCCTCTTCTGAGCTACAGAAACACTGCCACGGTCAGTCATCACTGCAACTCTCATCAGGTGTCTTCCGTGTGACAGACCCCAGCGGGTTGGAGCTTGGATTTGGGAAAATGGTTTCCAAATCCTGATGACTCTGGCTGCGGATGTGTCTGTGGGCATTTTAACACAGCTGTTAAAATCTCCATACCACATTGAGGACAGGTTCTCACACCACGCCCCCAGCCAGACGACACTCGGTGGAAAGCAGTGGCAATAACTTGCACTGAGAGACATCCATCCACATCCCCGTTCATATCAGCAGCCGCCAGAACAAGGTTGGTGTCACTCACAGTTGGTGTCACTGAGATAGCAGCATTTGAGTTTTCTCTCAAGTTACAGAAAACAACGGCTGTAAATGGAGCAGGAAATACCTTCCAGGGCTTACATTTTTAAAAGCCTGCAATTGTAGATACTAAAACTCTCCAGCAAGATGGAAGCAAAGGGGTATCAATCCCCAGGGGCATACTGTCCTAAATGCAGTGCAACAAATGTCAGTCCACGAGAGGCAGCCAGTCATTTTTACAAAGTCTGAAGCTGGCTGTTAGCACTAAGGTAACTTTTGCAGGCACAGGGCTGAGCGCTGGGTCCCGGATCCTGGAACCAGCCTAAGCCCATTCAGCGTGGGTCCCCATCTGCCCCGTCTCTGTCCAGGCTGCAGCGCTCCCTGTAGGCCCCGCGTGCTCCCGCCTGCTCACCGGGTCCAGGCCACCCCATCTCCGTCCAGGCTGCAGTGCCCCCTGCAGGCCTGGCGCCCTCCCGCCCCCTTGAGAGGCCCAGCATGGCGCCGTGGTGGGTCCCTGGCTGCTGCAGGGTGCGCGCCTTCTCGAGAGCCCCGCCAGGACGCCGGGCTGGAGCCCCGCGAGGCCGGCCAGGTTCCCGGAGGCCTCGTCCACGCGCGGCTGCTTCTCTAGCCTGGGCTACCCAGGCGTGGAGGTCAGGAGCGGCTCCGGACGCGCGTCTCTGCCCTTCCTCCCGCGCTTTACCATGTCCTCCCAGACCCTGTTCGGAGGCTGTGGTCACTTCTGGGCGCATCCTCACGCCTTGCCTGGCTCCCTTATGGCCACCGTTAGGGGGGAGGGGATCCCAACGGCTGAGCGCGCCCACTCCCACGCGCAAGTTCCCGCCTTCTCCTTCCCTGGCGCGCGCCCCCTCCCTCGCGCGTGCTCCTCAGCCCTGTCTCCCAAGTCCCTGGTCAGTTTCAATTTCATCAAATTGAAGTTCAGGCGACCCAAACAATCGGGCTGATTTTTTTTTTTTTTTTTACTAGAAAGAAATGTTTTTAATATCATTTTTAACATTTAAAAAATAAAAGAAAAACTTCAATAAGGATCCTTCCATTGTTTTTTATACAGATTTAAATGCTGTCAGGTAATTTATCAGGTATATTTATAATCAATAACCTTATCAGTGAGGTTAGAAATTACAGTATTTATTGAGCTAAACTGTCACAAAATAAAGCACAACTACATGATCACAAATAGTAAACACAATACAAATAACCCAAAAATTAAATGAAAAAATAGTCGTGCAAAAGTAAATACAGAAGCTATGACCCAGTTCAAGGAAGTACAGAATGCCATACACAGGACTGCTTCATGTTACAGTAAGCTCAGTACTTCTGCACAGAAAGAACTTAGTGATTTCCAATTCCATCTTATACAATTTTACATAAATTTAGGAAGTGTATACACAATGTTCACATCTGCAACAATAACAAATTGATCATTAAAATTCAGGCAAAGGGAAATTAAGACATGGTAATGTGTGGCACATTATAATTACAGAATACCATTCATCAAGCTCATGTCTACGAACAGTAAATTGATGGCGCATCTAAATCTTAGGGATCAAATCATCCACAATCTTACAGCCAAAGTGCATTTTTTAAAAACTGCTATAGTGAAACAGGTCATGAATATCAAAATATATGATCATAATTTGCTTTCCACTTAAAAGCTAAATATTTTTATGCAAACGCAAGCTTAAAAGTGACTTTAAGATCTCAAAATTATATAAAATAATCATAACCACTTTTTAAAGGATGGGAAAATAACAAATTTGGCAGGTGCTATTTAACATTACTGTAAGGAAAGTATTAAACTAGCTAATTCCACTTTAAGAGGTAGTTGAACAAAATGTTGTTTGTATACTGCTTTGAGGTGTTGTGTTTGTTTCCCTTTCTTTCTTCAAAAGGAACAAACCCTGTACCAGCAGCATTAATTCATTGTGTCTACTATGAAAAATGAAGCACAGTTCAGTAGCAAAGAAGGCTGTGTCAGGGTGGGTGGAGCAGAGTCTCCCAGGGTGACCTGGTCCATGGTCACTGTCACCCTGACCAGAAGCAGCGAGCTGAGCACCTGGGACTGTGAGGACCTGGCTGGCTGCAGGTGCTGTGGGGACCCTGGAGGGACCGTGCTCAGGTGGCATGGGCTGCATCTTGGGACAGGATAAAGTCGTGAAATTTGCTCATTGGTTAGGAAACCTTTATGGAATAATGGCAGAAAAATGCCCACGTGGCCTTCAGGAACCTGAGCTCAGAAAGCCTGGCAGACACTCAGCAGACTCTGCTTGGGACCAGAAACGGGGGAGAGGCCACCCTTGACCCTCCCTCTGTCAGGTGCTCTTCCTATCACAGTAGATGGGACCTCTGCACACACAGAAGAAGATGTGGGCCCTGTACAGGGCGCCCTTGAGCAGCAGCAGGAGGTAGGTATAGTAGGCAGAGGTGCTGGTGAGCTGCAGGCCCAGTAAACCTAAAATAAGCCAGGTCATGAGTTTCAACTGCATGTGTGACAGCACGGGACACACTATGGGGAGGTGTCTCAGGTGTTGGTTTCTGATGACCTGCACTGAAGTGACACCACCCACCACACCCAAACCCAAAGATCAGCGTCTACCACTTCCACCAGGACCACCAAGGGCCAGATGCAGCTTGCAACTCAGCTGGATTGACAACCTCAGCTGAATTCACTAGAATTTTCTCAATGTTAAATATCAGGTTCATTTTTAATGAGTCCAACAGAGGAAAATATTTGGGATAATTAGACAGTAGAGTTTCTTTGTCATCAGCTTGTCTCTAAATAATAACAAATCCTGACTCATTCTGGCCAGAGGTTTCAGACATAATTTCTGGTAACATCACAGAAGGAATTGGCAGGGAAGCCCCGATCAACTTAATTAAAATCCAGAAAGACCTATATACATAGGAAGGGCAAAGACCTAAATTTGTAGTTTAATACTCAACACACTGATCTTGCAGCATTTTCTCACAATAGTTCCACTGGGGGAAAAAAGAATGGCAAAAATTCATTTTACAAATGTAGTGAGTAAAAATAATGAAGCCCCAGCAAGACTGGCCTCTGCACACCAAGCAAACAGAACCCTACTAGGTAACCTGTGAAGAAGAAAGTACTTCTTGGGTCACTGACAACCCAGAAGGGGACCTTGACTCACAGGGATGGACATGGACTAGCATATGACTGTGTCAACAGCAGTAATGAGTGTATGTTGGTAAATCCTGCCTATCATATCTGTTTTCATCATACAGAAGAAAGCAAGCTACAAATAAAACCAATAAAGATTACTAAAATCTATTCTTTTTTTCTTTTCACAGATCCACTGGGAGTTTAATTTGGCTATGGTATGAGATAGAATTCTTGATTTCCTTGGTTATGTACATATTGATCCACCACAATTTACAGGACATTTCCACTGTTCTGCTTCCCACCAGCTTCATAAACTAACTATGTCAGCCAGGTGTAGTGGTACACACCTGTAATCCTAACACTCTAGGAAGCTGAGATAGGAGAATGGTAAATTCAAGCCTAGAGTGGGCAATTCAGTGTCTTACTGAGAACCTGTCAGGAAAAAACGAAACAAAACATGGGCTGGGGAAATAGTTCAGTGCAAAAGTCTCCATATTCAATCCCCAGTCCCAGAAAAATAAATATTAAAAAATAAAGTATAGGGCTGGGGAATTAGCTCAGTAGCACCATGCCTGCCTGAAAAGCACAGGGTCCTGAGTTCCATCCCTGGTACCACTAAATGAATGAATAAATTTTTAAAAATAAAGTGTATATAATGTAAGAGGCAAAAATATTTTTAACTGGCCCATATTTCATTAACCACTCTAATAAGCCCTTATTCTTAGACTTCACTCAGTAAACTAGCAGACAAGGATATGCATGCTGGACAAAGATTCACCATGGAGATAAGAGTCTTCTCCAATCCAAGCCAAAAGGCAAAAAATAACTACAAAGAGGAATACAGAGGGAGAGGGGATAAGAAGGGAAATGGGGAGCAACAGGTGTGGGATGATAGACTGTGTGCCCCAGATCCCAGGCCACGGACAACGCGGCCAGGGACTCCTGTGAGTTAGGAATAAAGGCAGATAGCTTCTCACCTGGAGTGTGCCTGTCTCTGTATGGCCACCACTCATGCAAGAGTTTGGATTAAAAGTCTCACTTCCAGTGCCTCTGCAGTCCAACTTGTTTTTGTTGTTGTTGTTGTTGTTGTTGTTTTGTCTAGACAAATGAGATCATTTCATTCATATATATATATACATATACATATATATATATATGATTATATATATACATATACATATATATACATATACATATATATACATATACATATATATATACATATACATATATATATATATGATTCTTTATCCTGTTGGTCTACCGAACCAAAAAGGTAGTTCAGTGTATCCTTGCACCAAAACTATCTTTATTAATCTAGTTTTGTAAATTCTTGCTCTCTGATAAAACAAGTTGTTCCACTTTGTCCCTGAAGAGTGTCATAATTTTATACAAATTTATCTAATAATGATTTGACAACTCTGTGACTGAATGTTATTTGTTCACTTTTAAAATGTGGTAATTGGCCCGGGATTTAGCTCAGTGGTTCCGCTGACCACCTCGCAAGAGCAAGGTCCCGAGTTTGATCCCTGGTATCAAAAAAAGAAAAAATAAATTTGGTAATTTCCAGGTATGTTGGCATACACTTTTAATCCCAGCTCTTGGGAGGCAGAAGAAGGAGGACTGACTTGAGTTTGAGGTCAGCCTGATCTGCATAGTGAGCTCAAGGAAAGCCTGAACTACAGAGTGATACCCTGTGTCAAAAACAAAACCAAAAAAAAAGAAAGAAAGAAAGAAAGAAAGAAAGAAAGAAAGAAAGAAAGAAAGAAAGAAAGAAAGAAAGAAAGAAAGAAAATGTGCTAAGTAAGCCTAGAAAAAAATGTATCACTTGCCTGTGGTCAAAAGACCACAGGGCCTAGATCTAAAACCCAGGAGAGTCTTTATGCAAAGTGCCCTTTTTTTACTACAGTATCCCACATGCATAAACTTACACGTGTAAAACTGTTAAGCCTAAAAACAGAAATACATAAATGCAAAAATAACAATAAGGTATTATTTCAATACCTGTTCAACTTTGGACTGTTAGAGGTAGATTTTCTGGTTTTCGCTTTTTACATTGCTGTAGGTGGAACCCCAGGGCCTCAGCCATGCTAGGCAACTGCTCTGTGTATTAAGAACTAATACAATAAACTCCATGTTTCCACCCTGTTAAAACACATTTACCAGAACCTTAGCTGCCTCCAGCCTATTTGACTTACTACAGGTAATATTAAGGTAATTAACACTGCCAATCTGCTTAGTCCATTTTGTGTTCTTATAAGAGAATATTTGAGACTGGTAATTTTAAAGAATAGTGATTTGTTTCTTTCTGAAGGCTAGGAAGTAGAAGGTGGAGGGGCTCACAACTTTCAAGGGCCTTCCTGCTGTGTCATCTCATGTCCAAGGGCTTAAGGGCAAGAAAGTATGAAGAATAAACCAAGAGAGGGCCACCATTTCACTTTAATAACAAACTCACTCTCACAATAATAGATTCTCTCCCCTGAGGAGGGCAGCT